TTTATTTATTTATTTATTTATTTAAAATAGCCCTTTTTGATTGACAATCGATTTGTTGTTTACTCATTTGATTGATTCGTTTTATTTTGATTATCTGGACAACTTCTTTTGTCATGAGTGTTAGACTTGCCTTTCTTTTATTTGCAAGTAGATCTAGAATCTAGATGTTCTCAGTAGAGAAAACTGTCACCATCACCAAAGACAATACTTTTATCTGCAAACGCAGCTCCTTATTTCCACTCCAGATTTCCTAATCACTGCTGTGTACCAGTAGCTAACTCTTGCACTTTGAAATAATAATTATTTTAGCTTATCGTCTGAAGACTTGGAACATAAACCATGATTTACTCAATCAAATATGAAAAAAAACTCCCAATATTTCTTTTATCATTTTCACTCTGTGAAGGGTTTTATCACACCCACACACATAATATTTTAGCTTTCTCTTCGAATATCTGAACTTTGAACTTAACATGACAGTTCCGTAGGCCCACTAAGAATGTATCATTGTACATAATATTTATTTATTAGACTATCTCGCTCTTTTGTGTGTCCGTGAAATTCTTATTTCGTTTTCTGATTTATGATTCTGATTTCTGATTTCTGATTTCTGATTTCTGATTTCTGTTCCGACATAATATTGGGCCTTTGCTGCTTTGTTCTCTCTCTCTCTCTCTCTCTCAAGCACTATTGGAAGCTTCCATGTCCTTGGCCTAGTGATCGCTTTCTTTTTCCTTCTTTTTTCTTTGTTTCTTTCTTTCCGCTTTTCCTATAATGGTACTAACACAGTGTTGCAATATTGCTGTTGGTATTGGCTTTGCAAAAATTGTTTGTTTTTTTCAAAATTGTGAATAACAATTTTTATGACTTTGTTTACAAAAACTTTAATCATGATTGTTTATTAATTAAGGTTGTGGGCTGTTGTTTGGTTGAAAAGGTCGTATAATTAGCTGGTGAGTGGATTAATAATTAATAGAAAAGATAATACTATCATGACGGGCAGAACGTTTCTCTATTCATGTGAAAAGTGAAACATTATTCGCTTTCATCAAGCAATCGTTGATTCACTATAACAGGCCTATTGTTTATAGTTATATCTCTTGAGTTCTATTCCAATGAGCTTACAATATTTACTAATGTAATCCATCCTTCTGCTCCTGTTCTTGAAGAGCATTTCTGCTTTTTTTTCTCTCTCTCTTTTCTTTCTTCGGTAAGACTCTTTGTCTGTAAGATTATTTAGGCCTACATGTAAACTTTCTTCTTTCTTCATGCAGATATGAAATAGGCATAAAATATTCTAACTGTATATGCCGGCTGCTGTTTGCTCCTACTTATGTATGTTTTCCCAGTTCGCTGTCTTTCGATGTTCGTTTCTCTTCTCATCTATCGTCATGGAAATGTCTCTTTCTTTGCGTTCTTTTTCTTTTTCTTTCTTTTTCTTGACGTTCTTTCTCTTTCTCTTTCTTGTTCTTTCTCTTTCTTGTTCTTTCCCTTTCTCTTTCTTGTTCTTTCTCTTTCTTTTTCTTTCTCTTTCTTGTTCTTTCTCTTTCTTGTTCTTTCTCTTTCTTGTTCTTTCTCTTTCTTGTTCTTTCTCTTTCTCGACGTTCTTTCTCTTTCTCTTTCTTGTTCTTTCTCTGTTTTTCCCTTTCTCTTTCTTGACGTTCTGTCTCTTTCTCTTTCTTGTTCTTTCTCCTTCTCTTTCTTGTTCTTTCTCTTTCTCTTTCTTTTTCTTTCTTGACGTTCTTTCTCTTTTTCTTATTTTCTACGATCTCAATCTTCTTTAGCTTCCACTCATCTATAACTTTCAAGCTGCTGTTATTTCTTAAAAATTTGTAATTGTAAGTAATCACTTTTCAACGTCTCCTCG